CTTCAGCAAGTAAAGGCACCTACCGTACACCCAACCTTGTCCAACCTGACAGCATCAGGCAGGGCTCAGGTACTAAGAGACTTTGCTACCCTGTTCCCATAAATAGAACAAGCATTTGGGGTGGGTCCCCAGGTTGTCCTGAAAGTAACTCAGCTTCACAGAGGCTGCCTGTGGAAGCCCAGGCGGATGCGCCAAGGGGACTCTCAAGGCAGGCCAGGCAGGTGGCCCCCAGTGCTGGGCTTATCTCCCTCGGGCAGCTGTGAGCTCACGCTCCTTGCCTCTGCCCTTGTGGCGTGTCTAGCAGCCTGTCTCTTGGTGTGCGTGTCTGTGTGTGTGCACCCGTGTTTGCCTGATGGGCACAGATGTGTTTGGATGGAGGCGAGCCTGTCTCTGTGGTTCTGGGCATAGTCGTAGTTTTCTTTCTTCCCTCTGTCTGCTGCTGGCAAGGGCAGCCCTCTGTACTTCCTTCACTCATCCCCATCCTCCTCTGCGGAGGGAAGATACCGCCTGTACTGAGATATCCCTGGACCCGGAATATCGTTCCTGTCTTTAAGAAAACTCCCACTTAACTATCCTGCCCTTACTCTCCTGTGTCTTCCAGGGCAAAGCTGTGTTGGACTGCCTGGCAGAGTAAGTGGGAATTTAACTGTCCCTCCCTGAGTCTGCCTGTGCTAACTCAGTGCTGTCTCCCAGCCCCTGGCCTACTGCATGGTTCTCTGCTTGTCTACAAAGGTTTGTTGACTGTGTGGTTTGTGGGCCTGGACAGGGAAGTGGTGATGCACACTCCTTTGTTATCTGACTTTTTCTCCTTTGCTGAAAATAAGCTCATGGAGTTGGCCCTAGGGCTGGTGGGCCACCTCTATCTTGGGTCACCTCTGGTGATCCCTCTAAAAAAACAAAGGCACACAACAATTTTGGAAAACAACTGGAATTAATTACTTAGTAAAGTTGATCATGTATATCCTACAGCACAGAAACTCAATTCCTGGGAGACTCTTGCACACAGAAACCAGAAGACACAGAATGCTTTAGAGTAGCCCCAAACTGGAAACAATACAAATGTCCATCAACACTAGGATGAATAATTAAACTGTAGTATTTTCACACAATGGAATACTATACAAGAAATGTATGTAAGAAAAATGAAGACCAAATGACCAACTTAAAGTTCCACTCATTAATGTGAAGGGATCTTTGAAAACTATACTGAGCCAAAGGAGCAAGACATAGAAGAGTATATTTAGTATGAGTCTCATGTTCCAAAGCTTAAAAACAGGCAATCGAAATATTGTTTACGGGCACACAGATAGGTAGGAAACTGTAAAGAAAAGTGAGAAGAGGATTGTTGCTAAATTCAGGATCCTCTAGGGAGAATGGTTCCTCTAGGGAGAACGTGTCAGAGAGGGGCACACAGGCTTCAAAGTTACTTGAAATGTTCTCTTCATTGGCCTGGGTGCTGGGTACAAAGAAGTTTATTATTGCTTTTCACACTACATATATGCATGTTACAGACTCTTCTGTATATACAGTATGTTTTACACAAGTTAAAAAAAGGGACGGTGTGTGTCCTGACTCTGCCCTCTTTCTTTCCAATCCACTTGTTGTTCTCAGCTGGCAGAAGGGAGACCAGGGTCCCTCATCACAGTTTCTTTCTGTTTTTGAGTGGGTCGTAGGACTACGGGAGGTAAGGGCCTCCCCTCTGCAGCTGGGCTCTGCTACTCGGAGCGGGAAGGCTGGGGGGAAGCAGGGCCAGGCCAGGCCGGCTGGCTCTGCTGTTTCTGCCAACTCTGGGGATTAGGCCAGGGCTCTGGCCCACCTGTTGTTTCACTCATTCAGCATGAACATAACCATTGAGTGCTTACTGTGAGCAGTGGGTGCTGTTGGGAGGGTTCAGATAAGTGAGAAATGGTCTTTGACCTCAAAGAGCTGTACAGTACACAGAGGTAATCACATATACAAATAACTCTGGTACCAGCAAGTTGTGAGCTAAGGGTCACATGACTGCCCATCTACGCTTTCAGTAAACATTTGCTGAGCACCTATTATGTGCCAGGAACTGTGCTGGACAGTGAGCGTATAAAGGCAGATCAATCACAATCCTGATCCTTAAAATCTTAGTCTAATGCCTGGGAAACAGACACAAGTGAGATAAATACAAGAGTGGAGAAAGCCCACTGATATGGATATGCCCAGGGAGGAGCAGGAAGGGGCCCACTAAGAGTGGGTGAATTGAGGACAGAGGAGTGGGAAGGGTTGAAGAAGGGTGGCCTTCCTGAAACAGACAGCCCCAGAACTGAGGACTTTTGGATGAGGAAGCAAGAGCAAAGGTGAAGGGCTAGGACATCCTCCATAGAGGGACCAGCTGGGCCAAAGGCAGAGGGATCAGAAACTGTGTCTTGAGGACTGTTTACAGCTGGTACACAAGTTCTCGGTGGGGATGGGGAGAGGAGCAGCCGGCGGGTGTCTGAGAGTGGGTGGGTGATGGGTGGAGGAGAGGCCAGCTTCACAAACAGCTCCCTGCCAGAGTGACCAGTGCAACACACAGGGCTTCCACCTGGAACTGGTGTGGCTCTTGGCTCTGGGTGTGAGTGTAGACAGAGGCAGGAACGTGGATGGGGCTCTGTACCCTCTGATCCCAGGGCCCCCAAATGGTGGCCTGTGGACAGGACTGGCCTGAGGAAATGAGGCATGTAATGAGCTTCTTATAAGTCAAATGTATGTACTTTAAGGAACTATCTATCTGTAATTAAATCAATAAGTAGGCATACCACTGAAAGGCATGAAGTGAATTACCAACAGAAGTCCTTAAAGATTCAAAAGGGGTTTCATCTTTGAACGGGGGCCATGGTGGGGGTGGGCAGGGGAGAGTTAGTGTTTTTTTTTAAAACAAGACTTTAAACTCTCATAGTTTAAACCCCGTGCACATAAAACATACAACCCCCCCCAACTGGCCTTTGTTGCGAATTTGTCCTCTCTACTTTTAATTGCTAAAAGCGGCCTTTCTTGTATGAAATGATAGAAGACAGAGGACAGCCAGCTACCCTCTTCCCCCCTTAATGTCTTCATTTGGCAAAACAAAACGGTGTTGTGGAGCCCTGTGCATGCAGAAATTCGAGTCTGGAAGCCGCCAGTCCAGAGCATCCTGCCTTTGC